CTACTAGGCTGTCCTCATTGCACAGTGACTAAGGAAGCCAGATTCCACATGGTCAACGACAGTTTGGATCCTGGCCAGGCAACTTGACATTGGGTGAACATGCATGCATGCTCAAACTCCTGATGGGAAGGAGAAATGGAGGACGAAAGATTGTGGTGTGACCATGTCCCCTCTCTCTCTCACTGGCAAGCCCACATGCCCTTTGTCAATTAAAAAAAGGTTTTTTTTTTTAAATAAAATTACAGGTACCAGCATATGGTGTGTCCAGTTACATTGTTGGACTCCCATGTAGTTGACTGCAGTTTGAGTCCTGGACCTGGCAGCTTAAACTCACACTGGGTTCATGTGCATGCATGCCCAAGATCCAATGAGGAGAAGACATTGTGGCATGGTCTTTCCCCCTAGCAGCGGGAGCGGGGGGTGGGGGGTGTGGATTTCTCACTTTCTGTCTCTCTGGCAAGCACATGTGCTCTATAGCAGAGATATTTTTATTTATTTAATTTTTGGTAAGTTAACTGCAATAATTCTGTAACAGAATCATGATGAATATTAAATAAGAATGTATGCTATTTGCTCTACACAGTGGCAGAGATTTTTTAAAAATATCTCCTAAAAATAAATTGAAAAGCAAATAAAATGACAACTAAATGAAAAAATAAAGTATACCTAAGTATATTGGATCCATTTTTCATTTTGTCGTTGTTGTCACTCTTGAGATGTAAATATAGTCATGCATTGCTGGACGCCAGGAATATAATTTGAGAAATGCATCCTTAAACAACTGCGTCACTGTGCAAACATCACAGGTTGTACTTACACAAACCTGGATGACGAAGCCTTCTACGTACCTGTGCTATCATGTCTGATCTTACAAGACCACCACTGCATTTGTGGGCTGTCACTGGCCAAAGTCTTGTTATATCTTACATGACTATATCATGGCTTTTAGAAGATTCACATATTTAAAAAAATAATATCAACTACCTTTTAATTGGTCACCTACAGATCAGTTATTACGGTTGACAGCTGACAGTTCAGACTTCACGATGCTTTTATTTGCGTGTGAAATAAACAAAAGGTAAAAAGCAAGAGACATAAAAGATGAATCTAGATAATTCTTTTTGGGGGGGCAGAGGGAGAGGTTTTCACTATAGGGAGCATGCGCTCGCCAGACAGAGAGAGACAGAGAGACAGAAAGTGAGAAATCACCCCCCAGGGGAGATGGTCACACCACAATCCCTTCTCCTCCATTCTCCTCTCGGGATCTTGGGCACGCACACACACACACGCCCGGCGTGAGTTTTAAGCCACCAGGTCCAGAACGCGAACCGCGGTCAACTACGTGGGAGTCCAGCGACATAGCCATTACGCTAACTGCTGGTTCCCTAGATAATTCTATAAATAGCCACTAACCTCTACATAACTTAAAGCTAAAAGGACTGGGGTCAGCAGGTGGCATGGTGGTTAAGGGCACCGACTCCCACATGACTGACCACGGTTCGGGTCTCAGACCTGGCAGCTTGTTTATCACTTTCCCTTTCTCTCTCTCTCTTTCTCTCTCTCTGGTCAAATTGAAAAATAATAATAGATGAATAAATAATTCTTGAAAAAAATATATAAAGAAAGCTGAAAGGTCAAATCCACTCTAGAAGAATGATTGCTTGTGCCTACTGGAAAGGCTACATAATTTTAAGAAACTCATGATAACTAGACAATCATCTTATTTCATATTTCATGCATAAAGCACTACAAGGGTAGTTCATATCTTTTTTTAAATTTTTATATATATTTTTTGAGAGTCTTTTTGCTATAGGGTGCATGCATTTGTCAGAAAGACAGAGAGAGATGCGAGACAGAAAGTGAGAAATCACCCCCAAGGTGGGATGGCCATGCCACAAGCCCTTCTCCTCCATTCTCCTCTCGGGATCTTGGTCATACATGCATGTACACCCGGCATGAGTTTAAGCCACTGGGTCCGGGACTTGAACCGCAGTCAACTACATGGGAGTTCAGCCACACAGTCATTATGCTACTGCTGGTCTCAGTTCATATCTATTTTATAGGTAGCCTTGGATGTGCATTGAACATAGAAATTATGGAGAACATGAAAGAAATCTTCAAAATTTAAAAAATCTAAATCTTAAAGTGTTATTCACTCTGGAATTTCATAAAATAAACATCTACATTTCGACCAACAAAGGCAGCACAGTGTCTTGGTAAGCAGAGCATTTCTGCTTCACCGATATTCCACTGGAATTTGGCCTTATCAGATGTTTAGTCAATAGCTGAAACATTTATTCAGAGCTAGTCAATTATAACACCAGGAAACCAGCCATCGAATAAACTGTGCTCTTAATTTTCCATCAGAGATTCATGTTTGAACGACCATGCATTTCATAGATTTGAATACCGAGAGGTTAATTATCCCAAAGGCCCCCTTACAAGGATAGCATAGTCTGCCATCACAAACAATCCTAATATTGCTCGAAAACGATCTTCAGCTTTCAGTGCAAAAGAATACTTTAATCTCTCTACTAAAACACACACTAAAAGTATAGGTTTTATATACATTAATACACACACACACACACACACACACACACACACACTGATATCAACTTCTCAAACCAAGTTCTTTCTCAAAACCCTAGAAAAACAAGTCTGAACAGTTTCTCGTACACAACGATTTGTTATCTTAGAACGAGAAATGTGAATTAAGAACTTATCTTCCTATCCTCTGTTGAATGTTAACATTTCTTTTCCTTTTAAATGACTATCTCACAAAATGCCCTTGCCATATGACTTCAAATTCAGAATGAAGCTCGCCAGAAATAAAAATAAATTTTTTTTTCATTTATTTTTTTAAAAATTGCAATCACTCTGAAAAAAAGAAAAAAATCCTTAGAGTAAATGTAGTAAGAACTGAATGGCTCATCGGGTCAAGATATGTTACCTCAAAATATGACACCTTGGCATTTGAGAAAACAACAGAAGCAAGAAGGTGGCTCTCACCTGCTCCCTTCCCTTCTCCCCTGAAGTAGGTCACCAAACCAAGGTGGAATTTTCTGCCCTTCCCCTGAAGCAGGTTGTAAGATCCTCATTTGAGAGGTGCATGTCTTTGACCCAAGGGGAAAGGAGCTGAAGACAGAGATGTCAAGAAGAATCTGAACAAAAAGGCCTTGCTAAGTTTCCCGGTTATTACTTTTAGATCACCCTCCGTGTTTCCAACCACGCTTCTCCACTGTCTACTCTTCACCATACCTAAGCATAAAAACACATAGGTCTCCCTGTTTCTTTCAGTTTTCATCTCTAAAGGCTCCTGGGTCACATGAAAGTCATGTTAAATTAAACTTCTGTATCTCTTTATTCTGTAGTTTTTCTTTCTTTTGTTACAGAGGCCTCAGCCACATGGGTGAGGGAAAGAAATTTTCCCTCCCCCACAGAAGCAGCATGTAACAGAAAGGTCTGGCCATTCACACGTTTAACTGACTGACAGGTACCACACATAATGTGTTCTTGTGGTGCTGAGGAGACTTCAAAACCACCAAATCCAATCGAAATGATCAGTACGTGGTCCCAGAATGAGAGTGTAACTAAAGAAAGCTGAGTCTATTCAATAGTATTTAAACTCATCTGAAGTGGTAACGTGCTAACATGTATTAATCAATACTGTCCAGTAGATAGTCAAATCCTACAGCAGAGACCGTATTTGTTTTGTGCACGAATATTTGTTGAGGCAATACAAAAACTCCTGTATGGAATTTAAAATGGAGCAACCATAAGAAAAACAATTTGCTAGCCAGAATTAAGCAAATGAGTATAAACAGCACACAGAGTTATATTCATTCATTAACACGTTTATTATATTGAGCTTTTCACAACCTCACTTTCCCTTACGGCCATCTAGTACCTTTTGCAATGATTTTATGCTTGTTAAGTCCCTTCCTAATTATAAATTCAATTCCCAGTTCTATACTATGCCGAAGGACAACAGATGTGAATATTCAGATGACTTCAAAGACATAAATGAACACATTGATATCTACTGGGTAGTCAGAAAAATCATGATGTATTTTTTCTGTGTTTTTCTATGCAAAAATGCATCATGACTTTTCCGACAACCCAGTAGTATTTACATCAATTTAATCTCTTAGGGTTTTGGTTAAAAACATCCAATAATATTATGTCAAAACTGAATAAAATGAAAAGATTTTGTTTTAAGACTGCCAATCTCATAACCATTAACTCGGTTCTTGGGGTTATCTATAAATGCACCTGTATTTTCTTTAAAAATACCATGATATATATGTAGAGAAAGTTTACAATCACAATTCTATTGCCCTTCTTTCCTCTCTCCTTCATTCCCTTCCTCTCTCTTCCTTCTTTTCCATGGAGCTTGTTTTGGGGACTCTTCTCTTTTACACAAAACTGGTTACTACTTAGAAACAAAGTAGAATATGTTAACTGGGAAACAAAATGGGTATTTACCTTAGGAGTAACATTTTTGCAAGGAGAAAGTAAGATAGTCCCAAGCATGCCTTGAGCAAAATAAACAGTTACACTGGGAAACAGAAGCATGACCTTCCAAGTTTCCCAGACTGCATGTTTTCTTAGCTGATTCTGGGTGTCAATTCTGAATGACTGGCTGCTCACATATTAGCTGGCTCAATGTATAAAGGAAATATTGTTATGCCAACCCCTGTGAAGATATTAGAGATTTCTGCATGGCACCCAACTCACCTCTTAGTGATGACTAAAATATTCACAGCCTAGTCCCATTCCTTCTTTGTGTTATTCGACAACTCACTGATACCACCAAGTTTGCTTTTAGCACATACCCTCTTCCCTATGTCTTTCCATTCCCAGCCTTCATACCCTCCCTGACATCTTTTTTCAGTTCAAAAGGATACATTGGCATTGTGCTATGAGACGTTCATGCATGCTATCACCCACAGAGACAATTCAACAACTTAACGCATTTATAAAAACGCAGAAAGTACCTGGACATAGGCTCTGCAAGAGCGCTCTCTTTTCTGAAGCTGAATCCATTAAGACAGCAGATTAAACACAGAATAGAAAAAACAAGTTAGTGACAGAAGAAAACAAGAAACAATCAAAGAACACATCTACAGAAAACACCTTATTTTCTTGTTTACCACCTCCTAGGAGAAAATGAAAGCTAAGCAGCAGCCAACTATATGCAATGGCTTGACAAGTAGTAGCCCCTGTAAATCTTTTCAGAGCCGGGGTGAAAACCGATGGGGTAAAGTTTGATGACAGAAAGAAATCTTTGAATACATTTAGTAGAGATTAGTAAAAAGCATTATTTTTCATTCATTTGAAATGACTCATTTCACATCAGGTTAGTGTTATTAATGGATGGGCCACAAATGAAGACAGATGAGGTTAAATCAATTGTGTCAAAAGTCTGGGATGCATTCTTCAAAGACGGTAGATTATTTGTGCTTTACAGAACATCGAGATGGTTAATGTGCAACACGAATACAATGTTCATGCATATATAGCAAAAAATTCAATTTATAGGGAAAATAGAAATGCCCATTCATTATGACTATTTAATACCAACGGACAAATACCAAAAGAGAAACAAATTTTGATTCAAAGAATGTGCTTAGTCTCCTGATTTATCACTTCTTATACTTCTTGGAGCAATTTCATTTGACAGTTTCAAGTCCTCCCAAAATTACACATTTTAGAAGCGTCAGTGCGATAAAAGCTCATTTTTGATTGTTTTGGTCGCACACAGAGTAAAGTTTTCCTAAGCAAAAGCTTGACAGCAATTTATATTCAGCCCCAAACATTTTTTTTCCTGGTGATAAAGTCACTAATTAATAACAGTTTATTCACCCTATTTAAATGAATGACCCCAAAGTTTATAGATTGTGGGTTTTCCTCCTCTTTCCTATTTTCTTTTGCACAGAAGCTTTAAGTGTTGAAGGAGAAAATCACCCAGGGTTAAGATGCAGTTACTGATGCCTTTTGTGTGGCTAATTCTCCCCTAACTCTAATTCATGTATTCCTCAATGAGCACAGAGCAGTGACTCTAAAGAATTAAGTGAGGAATGAGTGAGAGAAAATCGCCAGGGCTGTCATTTGGATCACTGACTCGCATCGAGGTTTTGCAGGACTCTAAACCCTCCAGAATTTCAATGTGGAGCCCAATTGATTTGTACTGAGTTGACTTTGCAAATCTGATGGGTTCTAACAGCTTCAGGGAAAGTGGGAACCACAGGAGATGAGAGCAAGCCAGCAAGCATGTGAATCACCTTTGCCCTCCCATCTCCTACCCCCACATGCAAATTAACATATGACAAACCACATTATATAAACAATTGAAAAGAGCCAAACGGGAAACAAAAGAGAGCATTAAAAAGCTTCACGAATGGAAATTTGCCCATTATGTAGTTATTTGATATTCAGAGTAGGCAAGCTGATTAGCTGTAGCCAGTTAGAAAATGACATTAATTGTCAGCTTTACCTGACACTGTCCCACATGAACACCATTTTTAAATAAAGATACAAAGTATGGCTATACAAGTCTTGTTATGGATACGTAGCATTAATAGAAATCATTCCTTTCAGGACATCATGGAACAATAGCTGGCAGCAATATTCATTAACAGCACGGAGTCATTCTGGGTAATAACACATTAAAATCGCAGCGTGCCAGATTATCCAGGCAGCTGTAGATTTTATTCTATCGGGCATAGATGTGATCTTGTCAGGGGCATAAGTGACAAAAATAACTCCTTGATGTTCTTCATGAAAAAAAAAAAAAACCCTTTAAGAGTAATTCAATATTTGATAGATTAAACTGTGCCTGGTTTCTAAAGATGAAACTGCAGGAAAAGCAGTACTGGCCAGACAAAATATCTGGCATTTTCCTATATTAACAATCTTATTTTAAAAATGTCTTTCATCTTGATGAGTGAGATTCTTACCCCAGTAAGGCACAGTTTAATCTATCAAATATGAATTACTCTTAAAGGGTAATTCATATTTTCATTAACAGCACGGAGTCATTCTGGGTAATAACACATTAAAATCGCAGCGTGCCAGATTATCCAGGCAGCTGTAGATTTTATTCTATCGGGCATAGATGTGATCTTGTCAGGGGCATAAGTGACAAAAATAACTCCTTGATGTTCTTCATGAAAAAAAAAAAAAACCCTTTAAGAGTAATTCATATTTGATAGATTAAACTGTGCCTGGTTTCTAAAGATGAAACTGCAGGAAAAGCAGTACTGGCCAGACAAAATATCTGGCATTTTCCTATATTAACAATCTTATTTTAAAAATGTCTTTCATCTTGATGAGTGAGATTCTTACCCCAGTAAGGCACAATAGAATTAAACATATTAAAACACCACTCATAGTCATTTTTTTTTTTTTTTGGAATTCTAAAGGGGACTGTTCCTTTACTGAATTCCATAAAGGAAAGTTATTCTAACACTGTCAAATTCTTGTTTTTGTAAGTATTGGGTTGTCCGAAAAGTCAAGATGCATTTTTGCCTAGAAAAGCAATGCCAGGAACCAGCAGTTAGCGTAATGGCTATGTCGCTGGACTCCCATGTAGTCGACCGCGGTTCGTGTCCCGGACCTGGTGGCTTAAAACTCACGCCGGGCGCGTGTGCGTGCGTGCCTAAGATCCCGAGAGGAGAATGGAGGAGAAGGGATTGCGGCGTGACCATCCCCCCTGGGGGGTGATTTCTC